ACAACTGTTACACATGCTGATGTAACGCAAATGTTTCCAACTTGGGATCAATAAAGTATATCTTATCTTAAGATGACCGATGGCTTGGAAAATGTAAAATGAAAATGTGCGGTCCTCCACGCACACTCTGACCCATCAGTACGCGGTACGCACAAAAACGGGAGGGACGAGAAACTGCGAATTCTTCATATATGATAAATGAGAGGTAACATTTTATTTATGTTATTATTTCCACATATTTCTCTCCATTCTTCCTTCTGCCAACGGTGTCGCAGTTTCTCGTCCCTCCCGTTTTTGTGCGTACCGCGTACTGATGGGTCAGAGTGTGCGTGGAGGACCGCACATTTTCATTTTACATTTTCCAAGCCANTTGTTTCTGATAGCAACTTTCTGATAGTGCTGTGGGTCTGCCGCCGATTTGACGTCATATCAGCCATGAACCCGTTTGTGGACTATATGTACAGTATGGGATGTTGTTCAAATCAACTACAGTGTGCCTTCATAGTAATAAAGGAACATGTCGTTGTTAAAGAAGATAATGGTTTTGGTACACACAATTATTGTTTCTATCGTTTGTTATTTATATGGATCACCAGCTTATCTTTTAAACAGCATTTATTGTGTTTTCTCCACTAGGTGGCTGACAAACATCAACACACAAACTGACAGATTGCTAACAGTTTCCAACACAACTGTGTAATTCTCTGTGATTTCATCACTGCTCGGGACCTTATTTCACCCTACACAGCGGCACACAGCCATTTTCATCAACATCACTGTCAAACATATAGATTAATGATCAACATTATGGGTTACTCAGTTACTGTATATGGTCAATGAGTCATGGATATGAAGTGAATATTGTGCATTGTGCTGTTCTTGATAACACAAACTGATCAACATCTTAAACATTTAAAAGATTTTGAGTTTACTTTTCATCATTGCAACACATTTGTGAAATGGGCAGGTATTTAAAGTACATTTTACAATATTCAAAGTAATGATTCATTTAGGTAACATATATAGAGCTGTTTCTTAAAGTTGGAGGGCAGATTTCTTTGAGATTCTTTTTTATTCTGAGTTATTGTCTGCCTTAAAGTCCTTGGTATGGAACAGGGGGAAAAGAGGCGCAGTATGAGAAACAAAAATAGCTTTTTTAACATTAAAGCATGGAGACATGTCATGATGACCGTAATCTGTTCTCTTTAGGAGGATATAGAGTTTTGTTGCATGCTAGTGCCGTAAGCCTTGGGTGCCGTGATACAAGCCTTGTTAGCAAAATCAGAGCTAGATAGACGTTATTCAATAGCCTAATATTTATACAAGTTTCAAATAAACAATTTCCTAGTATATCCCATCCTTTCTGATCAATGGTGTCCTTTGAAGACGCCTTTCCTAATCAAATAAGTAAACATTTGGTAACTAAAGGAAATAAAAGCACATGCTGCTTTTTGCAGTTTTACTGTAGTTTCAATCCTCTATTGTCCTCATGTGTAAAGTCAGCAAAGTGCCCCTTTTACAACATCTTGTTATCACTCAAGATATAAAAACAGCAACATTTGGGTCTGCTTTTCCCAGCTGATAAAGTTATAGCACAAACACCAACCTCTAAAAATGTAAGGACATTCGTATATTAGTTTAACATTTTTCTAGCGTTACACATATGATCATATAGAAGAACAAAGTTATAGCCGCTGTCACAGCAGGGCCGTAAAAACCCGTCGTCTGTGTTTAATGGAGCTCTGGATCCAGTCTGTTTGTTCCATTTTATCTGCTTCTGCAAATCCCTACATTGTTAGCTCGGCCGAGAGCACGATAGATAGGCTTACAGTATGTTAACAGCAGGATGTGAGGTTTCCTGAGGACGGCCTGGACCACAGCCAGGGCTGTGAATGAAACATCATGTTATATACTGTGTGTGTCTGCCTCGGCCACGTGAGCAGCATATTTCTGCAGCTTCGACCTATGACACAGCTGGCTGCAAGTTTCAGGTCGAATAAGGCGAGTCGAGAGTGTCTGTCCTTAATTTACATTTTGTTTTTCAGTGAAGAGTTGAGGTGGGTTAACAATCTCTATGCACAGGCAGCAGAAACCTCATATGCCCTTTGTCAGGTTTCTGCATGTATAGATTATTTCTCCTACGTCCTCCTACATGTTCTTTACTTTATTCATTTCCATGTTCTGCTTCTTTATACTACAATAATAAAACTGTATCTGACAGCTGCTAGTTGGAAAACAACCGCAACACTGGCAAACTTTATAAAATATAATACCTTGTTACGTTAAAGGGACCCTATTATACTTGTGTTATATATCTGTGCATGTGGTCTGCAAAGGCTAAAATCTAAAAGTTCTCTGCAGAGGAAGTTTCTCTCCCACACACTTTTCTCCTAATGCATTTCAGATATAATTTATATTGATCATTATCAAAGATAGATAAATGCATAGGCCTATAGACAGGGGTGCACATAACTGGTACGCAGGTACGCATGTGCGGCAACAATCCGAAAAGCGTACCGTCTCTTGTGTCACAAAGCGCATTTGCGTACCGACGTACTTGTGAAGCTTTTCCAGAAGGCGGTTAGATCACCGGACGACAGAGTCGGTCTCCGTGTGCACAGACAGAGCTTCTGTTAACGTCGGTCTGTACAACGGAATTGTGCCAAAACACCGCAAATCTGGATCAGCTCCCTTGTACCCCCGTTTTTAGAGATTTGGGTACGGAGGAAAAGAGAAAGGGTTTTATTTTCTGACACACCGGGCACACATATATCTGTATAAAAGACATAAAAAAGTGCATTTTGCATGATAGGTCCCCTTTAATATTAATTAATTAATTAAATAATGTTTTTTGCCTTAATTGTAGTGGAGTAGAAGCACACGGTAGCAGAACATTTAAATACTCAAGTAAAGTACCTAGATGCACAGTGGAGTAAATGTACTTAGTTACTTTCCACTAGTGATGGCGAGATGAAGGCTTATGAAGCTTTGAAGCTTTCCAGCCAATTGGTTCGCACAAGGTTGTGAGTCAACTGCTTTCAAGCTGAGCCACAGCACACACACTGAATCTACCTGAAAACACTGAATCGTATTTATTCCTGTATTTATTCATGTTTTTATTCCTACATTTATTTATGCTTTTATTTATTTATACTTATGACATGACACCTCTATATAAGTGAGGTTCTGAGACAGTGGCGGACTGGCCATTGGGTCGGATAAGTCACTAGCACCCCCCCCCCCCTCCCGTCGACGATTTACTAGCGGTATTTACTTGCGGTACCGTGGTGGGCCGGTCGGATAACTCACTGTTATATTAGCTGTACAATTTACCACATATGGTGTTCTTAGTTTCCATACCTCCTGTGTTTTACGAGCGACTTATCAAGTACGCGGCGAACGGCATTAAAACACGAT